AGTGTCGCATAAACTGATTATCTTGGAGTGGTGATTAAATTAGTGTCACATAAACCGATTAACTGGGAGTGGTGATTAAATTAGTGTCACATAAACTGATTATCTTGGAGTGGTGATTAAATTAGTGTCACATAAACCGATTAACTGGGAGTGGTGATTAAATTAGTGTCACATAAACTGATTATCTTGGAGTGGTGATTAAATTAGTGTCACATAAACCGATTAACTGGGAGTGGTGATTAAATTAGTGTCACATAAACTGATTATCTTGGAGTGGTGATTAAATTAGTGTCACATAAACTAATTATCTTGGAGTGGTGATTAAATTAGTGTCACATAAACTAATTACCTTGGAGTGGTGATTAAATTAGTGTCACATAAACTGATTACCTTGGAGTGGTGATTAAATTAGTGTCACATAAACTGATTACCTTGGAGTGGTGATTAAATTAGTGTCACATAAACTGATTACCTTGGAGTGGTGATTAAATTAGTGTCACATAAATTGATTACCTTGGAGTGGTGACTAAATTAGTGTCACATAAACTGATTACCTTGGAGTAGTGATTAAATTAGTGTCACATAAATTGATTACCTTGGAGTGGTGATTAAATCAGTGTCACATAAACTAAAACTAATTGAAATTAGTGTTTCTGTTTTTACTGTTTTAAATTATTTCAACAGTTGATTAATCAACTAATCGAAATTAGTGTTTCCAATTATTACACCTATCCAAGTAATGAAAATATTGCTACCAAATTTGCTCACTCTGTGTTTATTATGGTAAAGCTACTGCTGACTAGAGGGACGACAAATGTGTGGCAGCACTTGCTGACAGTCTGTTGTTATTGAATTGGCAGTACCCTTGTTTATTAGTAATGGTTCTAATTAATTAATGGGGTTATCTGTTAGCAAAGTCTTCTAACTGACCAACTCAAATTCTGAACCTACAAACTGAAAATTAACATTTAAGTTCTATTCATTCAGCATTCATCGCCTAAATCTTGCTGCAAGATTTATAGAAAATATTTTTAAAATAACTAAACATAAACAGTCATGATAAAATAAAATACTGACAGCACTCTTAAGGTGATGCAGTACTTACTTGAAAAAAAGGAAAAGAAAAAAGGGGATTAGATATTACTAGATCTACATCTTAAATATGAAGATTACACATATGGCTAGAAGGCATAGGATGTTTACATACTGACTGAAAGCAAGTTAAGCTTTAAAAGAAATCATGATTCGGTAACATTTATCCTAAGTTAGGTGATTCAAAATACATTTGTAAAAAAAACAAAAACAATTTTTCTCTACTTTATTTAGTATCAAACATTTAAGGCTATGTGAAAAATGATTATTACTCTTTTATGTGGTTGGATCTTGAGAGTATTTTCAAAATTTAATGATTTTACTTATTCAACTTTGAAAATATTCTCAAGATGCAATCACGTACAAGAAGAAGAATAGTCAACTATTCGAAAGCGCCCGAGTTTTGGGTCTTATTTCAAGTCTGCCACGTACAACTGAAATACTGTCAGATTGGATGCAACAGACATTACTGCAATTTACACTTAAAATTCATTTGCCATGATGGTTAATCAAAAGTGTGTAATGACATTTGTAAGATTCTAGCCGTGATTATTGGTTTAAAAATAAACACTCTAATTAATATAGAAGCAACTCACCTTGAATTCCATGTCTTAGGATTTTCTGCACGTACTTCAGGCCTGTAACAATTTCTCTTTGTACGAAAAATTCAACCCGAATTTTGTAATGTATTCCTTCTTTAATGATAAATGTTTGATTTTTCAGGTTGTCTATATTACCTGTTAAAACAGAAATAGTTTATAAAATGTATGGGAAAATAAAAAGTACAACTTATTCATATACGTATCTCAACCGTAGAATGTAGAAAAGTACAACTTAGCCATATACGTATCTCAACCGTAGAATGTAGAAAAGTACAACTTAGCCATATACGTATCTCAACCGTAGAATGTAAAAAAGTACAACTTAGCCACATATGTATCTCAACCGTAGAATGTAAAAATGTACAACTTAGCCATATACGTATCTCAACCGTAGAATGTAAAAATGTACAACTTAGCCATATACGTATCTCAACCGTAGAATGTAAAAATGTACAACTTAGCCATATACGTATCTCAACCGTAGAATGTAAAAAAGTACAACTTAGCCACATACGTATCTCAACCGTAGAATGTAATTCTATTATATTTTTGTTAGTGGAAAAAAAACACCAATTTTAAGGATATGAAAAAAAAAGAAAGATAGCCAACACAAGTGGATATGTCTTTAGTCTTAATACACTGACAGGTTACTTTACCAGAACTACCATGACAACAGCTTTGTCTCAGCATAGCACAGACTACACACGATACAAGAGGGTGATTTGTTTGATTGTATTCATCTGTTGAAAAATGCAATTACTGTACGTCTGTTGGCAGAGGATTGTCTGTTTGTAATTAAGCAGGAAGCTACACAATGGGCTATCTGTACTCTGGCGATAACAATCAGTCATCCGATACATCACATGATCAGTCTGTTTTATGTAGGCAAATAAACAGTGTTCTACAAATGTGTGTCAGTCCGAGTAAAGTAGTCAATCAGGGAAAACAAGAGTCGCAATAAAATATATTAAGTATCTAAAAACTGAGAAATAATCTCAACAATCAAACTGAGTTACCTAAAATTGTAAGTAAGAGTTCAATATTGTTTTGTTGCTTGTTTAATTTTCGGCTTCTTTGGAAGAATTAGTATGTTCAAAGTAACCAGTTAAGCCACAAATAAGATCATGCTACAGGTGCACAAGACTGTTCTAATTCTCCATAAGAAGCCGAAACTAAACAATCGACAAAGTGCTTCTAAACCTTTTTTTCACAACTTAGACAATTCAATTTTCACGGTGTGAAGTGTCAAGTTTCTCCCCATGTTGTAGTACACAAACATATACTTCCCTCTTCCCTCCTGTTAATAAACACATTACCATTATGTTAACAGGTTTTGGATAAATATAACTTTATTTTTACTTTGTTTGCTTGGAAAAACTAAGGCATGTATTAAACTTTAACCCTAATCCAAATAATGTAATATTATTTCAAAATGCTCTTAATTTCTTCGTAAAAGCTATTTGATTAAAGCTAGACTTGTACATATTTGTAACATATAAGCGTTACAGTCGGGTTCATAGGTAATTCAAATGACTAATACCTTGTACTAACCTGAGAGGTCAAGGGTTAAATCTGGTCTTCCATCAACAATTAATAACAGTTTCTTTACCAAAACTCTTTTGGGATTATCAGGCTCTGCAAAAACGTTTTTGGTATCAAAGACAACTCGTACGATTTACAAGATAATTCCAATTAAATTGCAACTGATAAACAATATTTAAAAATGTGTATGTTTTATTAACATGCTTTTCAACAATCTCCCCATATACGAACTAGCAACCCATTTTTAATTGGTAAAGAACCTATCAATTTGGACATTAACTTTACATGTATTAAAACACTTAGAAGCAGGTCTAACCTCTACTTTGGCTGTCCCAAAGATATTTACTACAAACCGAAGCAGTATTATTAACTGCACATAGAATGAACGATCCGATTCAAGATTAAGTCAAATCCAGAAATGTTCTTCTTTGTGCTGATCTGCAGTTAAGTGAAATACACGCACATATTTTTTTTTGTAGTTTGACAAATGTGTGAAAGCTACACATAAAAGCAGTGAAATCGAAGTTATAACTGCAAAAATATGTTAAGAGTTATTCTGATTAAGAGCTCTGGAACCTCCAAATTTATATTTTATGAAAAAAATTAACAAATTTCATCATCTAACATAAAATATCATTTAAAAATTATGCTTACACATTTTGTGAAATGAATTTATTTGAATAGAGACCCTTTGCCAGTATTGTTAGAGATACGGGTCAAGTAAATCATAGAACAAAAGTCGACTATTAAACTTCTTGTTTCAATTCAGATCTGATTGTCTGTTGAATTTCATTCTTTAATAACAGAAGCAATGTTAATGTTTAAACACGGCACAAGTAAACTGTAAGAAGTACCAGACATTAATGTTTGGCCGTAAACAAGTATGAAAGAAGCTAAGTTTATTAGTGGTTGATAATCACTGTTCAAAGTTGGAAAGCATCAGTTTTGACTCTGAATCCGACTCGTCAGGTTGTCACAAACTTCACCTCATTTTGTGATATGATTTTTATAATTTATCAAACAGAAATAACTGTTGCTTATGTCTCAGCATAACATACATAAAAAACAAAATCTCGTTATTACTGAATGGCTTTGTGTTTATTTTTCAGATTACCATGTCATATATAGTTGTGAAAATTGTATGTTAGTACATGCTACAGTTTAGAAATTTTAGTTTTTTTGGGGGGAATACATTAATTTTGGACCCAAATGAGCCTAAATTATACCTTGAGACAGACAGATCTATATCAAGATGGGTAACAAACGGACAGCAAGACAAGTGAAAATATGAAATTAATTATAGTAAGACCAAAATATGTTTGTCTAAAATACAGATAATTAAAAAAATATCCTTGTCCTTGAACGTTTAATAAAGCATACGATTCCTTCTGTTGCTTCTTCACTGAAGCATCAATGTTAATAAGTATTTATACTGTAGGTAATTCAGCATCAAATGGTAATCTGACCATAGTAATTTCAAAGTCAAACTGAAATCACCTTCAGTTCCTGAAAGACTGCGAATGATAATTTTCGGAAAAAACTTTATGCAATTTCTCCTAAGAGATACACTTGGTTGTTGAACAACCATGCCTTATTTATAAACTTGGTTATTTCACTCGCAAAAAGGTAAGAATTAATGGACGTAAAAACTATCAAACCTTTACTGGAATGCTTCCCAGATTCCCCTACAAGGTTCACGCTTTTGATTCTTCACTTCTTTAAACAATCTTGAAGCCCAGTTTTTAAATACTTACCCTAAAAGTATCTACATTCAAACCATTCAGGAAATTGCAATTATGCAATAGCAACTTTCCCACAAAACTGATTTTATTGGAGTTTCATTAATCATAAATGTATCAAATACATATCAAGCATGAGCACAGCCAAGAAAGCTTTTAAATATGACATTGCACGACTTTTCACCACATGCTTCCATAGATACAAAAATGGTGGATTCTACATTGCAGGATGTTTCCAACCAAAACCAAACGTTCAATTTTTAAAAACTGGCACATTCCGTGTGTATTAAACTGAGCTGGGCATCCTGTGTGTATTAAACAGAGCTTGGCATCCTGTGTGTATTAAACAGAGCTTGGCATCCTGTGTGTATTAAATAGAGCTGGGCATCCTGTGTGTATTAAATAGAGCTGGGCAT